ATTTAATGTTTTATTTTCTGTTAATTTAAATATATATTTAGAAATGTTATTAATATTAAAAATTATTTATTTTTTATTTAAATATACATTTAGAAATATTTTAGTGAATATTATTATTATTATTTATTCAATTTAACCAGGTACCACACCTTTTGACAGGTTTTCAGTTTGCTGTGATGGATAACAAATTGTAAAAATAATTTATAAAGATTTCACTCATAAAAATTAATTTCTAGCCCATTAAAAATATTCATTCATTCATTCATTAATTCGACAAATTAATTTCCATAAGTTTTCCAGTCTGATGTGATAGATAAAAATTAGAAATAAATAAGCAAACAAAAACTTATAATACTTTATAGAGATTTCACTCATAAAAACTCACATCTCTTCTTTTAAATGTACAACTAAAGACTTTTCCAGCATAAAATGTAATTATTTTCAGACACAAATGACAAAGAAACAGCAAGAAACATTGACTTAAACGTTACATTTTGAAGTAGAAAGACTGAAATTGTATTTTCTTGTAAAACATACTCTAATAATCTTAATTTACAACTTTGAACAATACTTTTTTTTTACAGTGAACCTGTCAATATTTGAATTTATTATAGATTTGCATACAAGAATTGCTCAGAAACAGTCTTTAAGATTGATGTGTAAGCCCCAAAAACATAACTTAGTTTGACTAGAAATTCACTGATTATGTTTCCATGTAATTAATTACCACAGATGCCGCAAATACAATTGTGCTTTAGTGTTATTGCAGATCTTTCTGTGAATGCAACAGGCTTTTGTAAATTAGCACTATTAGCACAATCCGGCTGCAGCGATCAATAAAACCAATCAGGAAACCCATTAATGTTGTTTAGCGAGAGGTTTTTGTGTAAATATGTGAGGAGATGGACTGGGATGCATTTCTCAGAGTAGTTTAACAATGTGCACGACTGAAGTCCAGGGTGCAAGGATGTTGAGCGCCACCTTTTGGCATCTTGTGTCACTACAGCATCCACAACAGATGGAAAAATATAGAGATCAAGACCTAATGATCACATTATTATTATTAAAAACAAGTATATATTTATTCACTTCAATGGCTTCTCCAAGCCTATAAAACACAAATACAAGCGTCACTTCTCTGAAAATATTTTTATTCGTAAGATCTTGAGTTCTACAAATATAGACTTCCCTTACAAAATCAAATTATTTACAAACTCATCGTCTGTCACAAAAAAAAAAACATTAAAAAGTAGTTAATTTCGCATATAGACTTCAAGATCGATAACAGAGCTCTGACATTTGTTATGTTTCCACAAGCATTACATTTATTGTCATTTACTCAACCTCATGTCGCTCCAAACCGGTTTCATTTATAGAAAACTAAATAAGAGATATTGCACAGAATGTCCAAGCTGCTCTTTTCCGTACAGTGAAAGTGAATGAGGACGGATGCTGATGATCATTACAGTCTCATAAATTTGGTTCATGAGTCTCAAATGTCACACTTTGGCTCAATAATCATTTTTATTGTGATTTTTGGAGCCGTTCACGTCAAAATCCAACTTTACTGCATGGAAACCGAAGCTCAGATATTCTGGGTTTCATAACAAAAAGTCAGATGGGCATATGAGGGTTCATCTCTCAATTCTTGAGTCAGATATTGTTTCTTTTGTGGCTTGATGCAACATTTTGCTTGTTTAGACAATAAGTTGAACAGGACGTTGAACAGGACGTTGAACAACTTCATTGAACAGGAAGTTGAACAACTT